ATTTGTAATCTATATTTGTAAAATAATCATGAATGTGTTCTTTAGCTTGCTTGTTCAATATTCTCAGGCGATTTTGTTCACACTTGGTTATCTCGTGTGTCTTCAATAAAGGTCACTAAAATATCTTTCAGAGTTATTGTCTAAATCCCGATATACATGCTAAAAGATACAACTTCCGCAAAATTTGTCCATGAGTGTATATTGGTTATATCGTGTGTCTTCAATGAAGGTCACTGTAATATCTTTCAGAATTATTGTAGGAATTCCAATATACATGTTAAAAGGTACAACTTCCTAAACTTTGTCTATGAGTCTATATTGGTTATCTCGTGTGTCTTCAATAAAGGTCACTGTAATATTTTTTAGAGTTATTGTCTAAATCCCAATATACATGCAAAAAGGTACAACTTCCTTAAATATTGTTCATGTAATTTTCAGATGCGTGTTGAAATGTTATTTCTAAACTGAAGAGCAAGAAATTTATTAGAACAAAACTAAATATTAGTTAAGCTGAGAAGTCACAACTGGGGAAGTTCAACCAGATCGTTAATAGATGTGGATGGACCGTTTTAAGTAAATATGACAAAGGCAGCATCGATACAGCAACCGTCCAAGGCAGCTAATGTCTGTCAATGAACCTGGAAGAGCCTTAAAAGGAAGCGGCTCTAATGGAGTTGCCATTAGACCTCGTCAAAGTTTGATGAGAAGACCGAGTTGTCCAATAGAGAAGCCTTATTGTCTATGGAGCTCTAACAATATCCATAATATCCTCATTGTGGTGAATTGCTTCAAATATTTATTGATATATTGCTTTGTTTATATCCTAAGCGATATTACAATTCTGAATTGCATATGGAAATCTATTGTTAATATTTTTGTGGAAATGTACAGAATGTGGTAAACTGGATAACTATCTTTGTAAAACGACATTTGAAATAATATCCCGCATGTTTTTCTTTTCAACGAAAATTCAAAATTTATTTCAAGGAGAAATAACGATTATTTCTAACCTTTTGAATGAGGTTTGAAAGGGTGAATTGTGAAGAGTAATGATAAACGGAAAAATAAAAGTGTCTAGGGATGGGAACCGAACCCACAGTGTTCCGCTTACCGGGCAGATGCTATGTCCACTAGGCTACCCTGCCCATCCCTGGACAAACTTTTATTTTTCCGTTTATCATTACTCTTCACAATTCATCCTTTCATACCTCATCCAAAAGGTTAGAAATAATCATTATTTCTCCTTGAAATAAATTTTGAATTTTCGTTGAAAAGAAATACATGCGGGATAGTATTTCAAATGTCGTTTTACAATCATAAGCCGCATTATATTATATTGTTTTATAACTATCATTGGCAGGCATATATAAACTCTTATACGTATATGACGCGTTATTTATTTTTGAAAAAAAAATCTCTATATTAATATTTGGTGGTGGTGGTGCTTATCTCCATGGTTAAACCAATTCCTGAAGTCCACTCCTCTCCAATTTTGCGATGGTATTTATAGGCCTGGGGTCCTCTATTGTCAGTTCTGAGCATGATATGTTCCGGAGAAGCTTCCGTACTATTGAATTTCAAGCATTTATTGAAGGTTTTTTGTCCATTTTGAAATTTTAAGGTTTTTATATGGTTACTTCTTAGTCTTCCTAAATCTGTTTTTTATTTCTAATATTAATATTTTCTTTATATAAATAGGATCGTAGCTCTATCTCTCTTTATATATTCGTATAAAATGTAAAATCACCCCTGTGTGTGCATTGTATCACTGAATAGTAATAAATAATATACAAAAATCGAACAGCCATTATCGTTTCTCAAGGCCCCTGAAGGAGCTTTAAAGAGATTCTTAACTTTCTTACACCACAGTTTATTGTATCAAGAATCAGTTTGCCGATAGTGACATGACAAGAAGAACGTCTGCAACATGCGTCAACCAAACAGAATGAGAGAAAATAAAAGTTTGTTAAAAATGTCAAGGAAAATATTAATGGAGATCTTGCGCAGTTAAAGAGGACCATATTCAAAGAGATGGATGTTGACCTTAATGACAATTATGTCAGAACTGACTGCGAAGATCTTTGTATCAAGTCCTATTATGCCTTCGGAAATATCAGTTAATGGCTGAGGCTATGAAATAAAGCCTGATGCACTCCTCAACAACCTGAAACATGGCTTTCGTGGCATGCCGAGATTCTTCTCTGATGAAAAGAACTTGACGTCGAACAAAAAAGTAAGTTTCTATAATGATCTTTGGATCTGTAGAGATCCCTCAGATTGATCTGTCGTGATGCACACTTCATGATTGTGCTTAGCGTCATCAGCAGTGAAGGTAAGATGTCATGACCCCCCACCTCTTTGAGCTGGGCTTTAGAATGAACGCTGACACCTACATCGATGTACTGGATGCTATTATAAAGCCTTGGATAGATATGGTGGCCGAGGAAAAGGATAATGTCTTCCAACAGAACTAAGTTTCAACCCACTAGGTGGGGGTGTCTTGTCTATGGAGAAGATCAGATCGGTCCATGCACCCTGATCTCAATACCAGCCAACTGAGGTACTTTGTCCGTATGGATGACCTCTTCTGGATTGATGTCTGCAATATAGAGGGCTGCAAGGATGGCCGGGTATATATGGTCCGGAGTGAGTTGGGTGTTGTGACAGTTATTGCAAGAAGTCCAAGCCCTCCTCTACGTGGTGGGCAGGAGAAGCAGCACAAGTAAGTAAGGGACTGCCCTGTAGTACGAAGCCCCGAGCCGCTACGGTAACCGTGAACAGGGAACTTTGAAATGTAGTGACTAACGGGCAATGACACCCCTCTTTCTATTCCAATAGCTATTCCTTGATATATCAATAGGGCACAATGACTATATATTTTTAATTGCTGAGTTAAAGCTTTATTTATATATACAGTTTTGTTTTTATTCAATCCAATCTATGCCTTTTTATTAACTAAAGATTTAATTATGTTTTGCTCTATTTGATAGCAATTTCAATTCCTTTTTAATATTTAGGGTTGAATTAAAAACAAAACTATTAAAGGGAATAACAAAATGATGGAATGTTCTAAAAAGAAGGGGGAAAGACTATAGCAATTAGTTTCTAAACCGTAATAAAAATTTAATATAAAAAATCGCTTTAATATAAAACCCACTTTTAGAAGATGGCTAAGAAAAGGTTAACTTACATTATACGTTAGCGCATATTCTAAATTTTCAATCTAAAGCAACTTTATTCCTCGGAGCAAATTCGTTATCAAGGATAAAACTTTTTTTTTGCTCCTCGCCTGAAATATCAATTTGTTGAAAATTCTTTGTTGGAATATTTTGCTGGGACGTTTTTATATCGTCAATGTGGAGGGGTAATTTCCATGTAGCCCATTCTTGTTCCTTTGTAAGGGTAGGCGGCGAATTGCTGCTAACTCTGGGATAGTATCTCTGAATGTATATAGAGTATTACCACGTGGAAAATTAGGGAAGACAAACTTTTTCCTTTCTTGTTCCATTCTTTTCCTTTGTGAGGGGTAGGCAAATTGCAGCCAAGTCTGGGATAGTATCTCTGAATGCTTACCATTCAGGATGTATATAGAGTATTACCACGTGGAAAATTAGGGAAGACAAACTTGTTCCTTTCTTGTTCCATTCTTTTCCTTTGTGAGGGGTAGGCAAATTGCAGCCAAGTCTGGGATAGTATCTCTGAATGCTTACCATTCAGGATGTATATAGAGTATTACCACGTGGAAAATTAGGGAAGACAAACTTGTTCCTTTCTTGTTCCATTCTTTTCCTTTGTGAGGGGTAGGCGAATTGCAGCCAAGTCTGGGATATTATCTCTGAATGCTTACCATTCAGGATGTATATAGAGTATTACCACGTGGAAAATTAGGGAAGACAAACTTGTTCCTTTCTTGTTCCATTCTTTTTCTTTGTGAGGGTAGTCGAATTGCAGCCAACTCTGGGATAGTATCTCTGAATGCTTACCATTCAGGATGTATATAGAGTATTACCACGTGGAAAATTAGGAAAGACAAACATGAGGATTACATAGCAACTTAGTTTAGGCAAAAACAAACTATGAATTATAAAAGATAAGCAACGAGAGTTTACGGAGTAGCAAAATATATATTTATAATACAATATAATGCGGCTTATGATTGTAAAACGACATTTGAAAATTATCCCGCATGTGTTTCTTTTAAACGAAAAATCGAAATATATTTTTAAGGAGAAATAACGATTATTTCTAACCTTAGGGATGAAGTATGAAAGGATGAATTGTGAAGAGTAATGATAAACGGAAAATAAAAGTGTCCAGCGATGGGAATCGAACCCACAGTGTTCAGCTTACCAGGTAAATACCATGTCCACTAGGCTAACCTGGACATATTTTTCCGTTCATAAATAATATATAAAGTAATTTATAATACAATATAATATAATGCGGCTTACGGCATTACTCTTCACAATTCATCCTTTCATACTTCATCCCTAAGATTAGAAATAATCGTTATTTCTCCTTAAAAATAAATTTCGATTTTTCGTTTAAAAGAAACACATGCGGGATAATTTTCAAATGTCGTTTTAAAATCTCTATTCATTATAAAATTGTGAAAAAAGTTTAAAAATTACAAAATATTTTCTCACAATGAGTTTTCTTTTTATTACAAAACGCTAGCTTTCAAGTGATAAATTGCTCTTCAACGGGCTTAATAAAACATCGACTATATCTTACAAGAAATATTATTATAATATTTATAATAAGAAATACACGCTGCGCGAGTATATATTTGTAAATATTTCTTGTAAGATATAGTCGATGTTTTATTAAGCCCGTTGAAGAGCGATTATCACTTGAAAACTAGCGTTTTGTAATAAAAAGAAACTCATTGTGGGAAAATATTTTGTAATTTTAAAAATAGTAGCAAAATATAAACATAAAAAATAATACTCTGTTAATAAAATGATAAATACCTTGCTACAATATAATTTAATGCAAGAGATTTAGTGTGTGGTGGTTATCACAATCGCTTTACATGCGAAAGATCCTCGGTTCGACCCCGGGCAGAACCACACTTTTAAAGCAGTCGTGGCCGAGTGGTTAAGGCGATGGAGTAGAAATCCATTGGGATCTTTCCTCACAGGTATATATGGATCAGGAGACGATGTATTATGTCTTGTCAAATTCAGTTAGAAAGCCAACCTGTATACAATGGTTTCGAGATTTTGGCTCTCTTCAGAACATGGGCGGCTTCGATTTGAGACCCAAAGCCTGAAACCATGGTAAATTAAAGGTTTTTTTCATTCAATTTACCAAAAATTGTATTCTGGCTCATTTTTTATCATCATTAGTATGGGTTTTACTAAGGTGATAACATAATGCATGTTCTGTTACAAATTTAAAGGGAAAGGAGCCACTTTCGATACATGATTAGACGAATTCACAACCATCTTGTGAGACGATACAGTATTAATAAGAGTGCAATCTTAAGAAAGATTGACGTAATACTTATATTGTAATCTTGGTGTTGATAGAATATATCGGCAATCCAAGATATTCTTTGAATTAGAAATATAACTATAATGGATTGCATCACTTTAGGAAACTATTGTATTGTTCACTAAACATATAGCCCGATCTTTGATTAAATGAATGCTGGCCTAACCAGTGTTTCAAACAAAGGTTAGTTGTTGATATGGCAAAATTAGACAAAAGCAGGACCAATATATTGGTTTTTCACAAATTCTGGAGGATAGTACAATCAACAAAAGTAACATCTTCCAACTGTGTCCATAGTCTTGCGAACATCCCTCTTCTCACAGATTATATTGAATCTAAAATATTTAAATATGATTTGGCTCATCTTTCGATAGAGGATCAAAATACTTATAGACCACATTCTCCAAGTATAATTATATCATTTTTAAGTGCAAAAATGGATGAATTATTTCTAAAAACAAATGAAACATTCCAAAGCTTTTTCCCCGTTTGGAATTCCAGCATATTTCCGCTCCAATATTTATAATACCCAGTGTATAACGAACCATGGAAATTTTAAGGGATTTTTATCAAAAATTGGCGCGGTTGAAGACTCTAGCTGTCATTGTGGCAACAAAATCCAGGACTCGAGACACCTACTGCTGAATGTCCACTCTTCTTTACCGCTAGACAACAGACAGTAAACAATGTTGTAGATATATATCAATTTGTAAATAGCAGAGAGAATTATCACAGATTTAACTATTTTTGTAAATATATTTATGATCATGAAAGGTTCAGGTTCCTAATATATATTATTGTTTCTCTTTTTATTTTTAATTACTATTTCTTGTATAATATGTTTATAACTGTTTCTGTTTTTAAAAAAGTGTAAATCGACGCAATTATCCCTAGCCGGGATATCGCGTTTTGTGTGTTTAATAAAATAAAAAATTTACATATATGTATATGTCATAATATATGCTCTTCCAGGAATAATAAAGTAAACCTACAGTCAACGAGAGAGAGACGTCGATAGAAGGCAACTAAGTTACGGCCATTTTGAACCACTGGCCACATTCCGGAGGGGGCTTTTCTTGGAACCCTCAGGACTATTTTTGGACAGTTGGGGTGTGGTTGGCGACACGAACGGTCGTTCAGCGGTGACATCCCCTCGCGCTACCTCTCTCTCGCTGGTTGCCTGGAATTCCTTTTCCAAACTTGTGGTTTCCTTATTTCTCTCTCCCCACATTATTATCACTATATTGCCACATTGAAAGTCGACCGGATCATATCACAGAAGAGTCGACAGGATATTGTCACATATATTTATTTATCAATTATTTTATATTATGTGTTTAACCCTATATAATCTTATATGAACAATATAATAAAAAAGTTAATCTCAATCTCTCTCTCTGTGTGGAGAGATGTAGGGACCTGGTTGCCGACATAGACTACGTTTTGAAAGAATATAGAACCATGATGGAACTCAGATATCATCAGAAGAACGACCCTGAACAGAAGACATGACAAACTGAAGGATAACAATATAGATAGGAGTTCTTTATACTTGTAAATATATAAAGCGTATGTAAATTTGAGCACCATTCATTTTTATAAAAACAAATATGAATGAAATCGTCGAAAATAAATCATTATTATTATTAGTAATAGTAGTTATAGTAATAATGAAAATGATTCATTGATAGATTATAATCATGATAATTTTCCTACCAGTGAATTGACAGATGAAACTGTTAACAAACCAATTTGCCTAAATAATGTTTTTTAAACTTAATTCTATTGACGTTATGTGACGCTAAGTTTGTTGTTTACACACATTAATATGTTATAATACCTTGGAAAAGGTTGGCGTTCAGCCAACTGAAATATTGGTAAATAAATTATATTTTGATCCAATATATGCCTTTTTAATTGAATATCTATATATGTATATTACATAAGAGATTTACTGCTGATTTTGGAATTAGAGATATAGAATTATTACTAGCTGATGCTGATTATTTTGAGTATACATAAGTATGTTTGTGATATTGCAGCCGTGGTAAAAATGAAATAAAATCAACTTTCAATCACAATTTGCTTTAAATTTGCTGCTAGACATAATAAAGAAAGAAATACCTGATTTAAGGCGTAAGAATAAAGAAAACAAAATACTTATTTGCATATGTACAAAAAGATTTGAGCCGGCCAACGAGAAACAAAAACATTGAGTTTTATATAAGGAAAGCCGAGACATCTTGCGGTGGATTTTACATAGTAATTTTATCTGGGAATTATAATTTTAAAATTAAATATGATTTTTATATATCACATGTGTATAAATACAAGGTGTTAGTGTATGTTGAAGAGAGTTGAATTTGTCAAAATAAAAGCTCATATTTTATGGTGTCTTAGATTTGAGGCAACCAATAGGTATAAAACACTACAGATATGACACAAAATAGCGATTTATTTCAAAACTACATTGAACAAAACCAATACTCTATAAAGAACAGACAATGTCTGGTTCCGTAGGGAGGCCATTATAAAGAGAGTAAATTGTACAGAATTTGCTCTGGTGGCGTTATCCTTACTGGCCTGACCAACCCAATTGACCTCAGTTCGTTCCTCCAAGAATCCGCCATAAAGTTCCATCAAGGACGGAAGTCGTAAGAAAGAGTCACGCGACTGGGATTTGGACCCTGGGGTTAAATCCCTCCCGGATTTCTGGAACGACTGAGGATTGGACAGGCAGTTGTCGAGGTTGGCCAACCAATGAACACCTGCCAGTTCTACTTACAGCTAGATACTATTATATTATTTTTCTTTCTTACCTCTACTCAATCATATTAAGATATAAAGTTGTGACCTTTGATGGTGTCTGTTTGACAACCATCATGACTGGGTGATGTAGAATGCGTCTGCCTTTGGCCTTAAGACTGGGAGCACTACTCAGTGGCAGGCCAACTTAGCTACAAAAGAAATGTCCACTTCTGACATGAGGAACAGACACCACGTGCAGCTGGTCCTAACATGGAGAACAAACGCTGCTCATCCTGTATCCCTGGAGTCCTTACAGGGTACTATCAGCCGGGCCAGCTGAGCCCAGGTTTTTTAGTGAGCTTGTTACTGCTCCCCCTCCTCCTTTTTCATTCGGGCTTGGGACGGGCAAAGGCGGAGTTAAATATTATTATAAGATCATATATTTACTATTTCCTCGTAATAGTTAGCGTTACTACTTAATGGATTACAAGAAGAAACCGCTGTATTACTATAACTACGGTTAAACGAAACTTTTAAATCATTCAATAGATAAATCAAGAACACTCACTTCTCTTTATTGACAACTTCTGCAGCCGGCCGTATTGTCAATTTGAAGTCTTCCTCCATTGAGATGCTAAAATAATTAGTTTTAAATTAACCTACTTTTAGTTTTAGGACCAATCTAATACCAACATTGAGTGGTTAAGTAATAATTAATAAATAAAAATACATTTAATAAAAAAGTTTTTATTTAAATGCACTAAAATGAAAAAAAAAAAATTATCTTCAGTCATTGAGCAATTAGATGTATCTGAGTGAAAATAAAAGCGGCGGAGGACGATCATCATGAATTTCGAACCTAATGTTATTTTAATATGTAGCAATTGATTTTTATAAGTGTTTGCTATATTTTTACCTCTTCTCTAAATATGATGGTCCCCCGCCGCTTTTATTTTCACTAAGATACATCTAATTGCTCATTGACAAAATATTATTTTCCTTTTTAGTGCATTTGAATAAAGCTTTTTTAAAAATATATTTTCATCTATTAATTATTTAGATAGTTTTTAGTCATGAATTAACAAAACTTAGAATCAAAAGTTCACTGGGGATTAGGCCTTAAATAGAAGGGAGGTCTGCTCGCTGCGGATTGGTCAATGTAAGGAGCGTAACAAGAAATATATAAAATTATTCATTCTTGGCCACTTCGAAAACCCAGAAGTTTGAAAACTTGTACACTTGCATTGTTCATTTGACTGAGGGAGTGTTAAAAAGTTCATACTTCTAGTGATATGGAAGTATATTAAAATTAATTTACAAAACTTGAAATCAATTTGGAAATGTGTCCATTTCCATTCACCCTGACAACCCAGAAATCTGAAAATTTGTCAACTTGCATTGTCATCGGGGTCTGAAAAGTGTACCAAATTTCAGACCTACGTGCTCTAAAAATATCTTAAAAATTGATACAAGATATGTGGACAGACAGACAGACGGACAGACAGAGAAGAAAGTTAAATAAAATATTTTTAAAAAGCCGGATTCTGGAGACTTTCAAGTGCAGTTGAACTATATGTATATGTATCATGTGGAGTACTCACAATATAATTAGTGATTTTAAAATTGAGTAATCCATGATTCAATCATTAGATAATAAAAATGAATATATTTTATTGGATAAATGATGATTGATAAAACATTTTATTCAATCCAATATATGCCTTTTGATTATCTAATAACTAGTAATCTATCCCTACCCGCTAGGGCTATCGTGGCCTGTACCATGTGTACTTGGGATAGCTGATTCCAACAACATAAACACAGT